CAATATTGTTGACAACTGTGAACAATGTGGGCCGCACAACATTGTTCAAGACATCAATATTGCAACAACCTGATCGTTTTTAGCTGTGTATTTGCAATTTTTGACTCAAAAACAGCGGTAATTGACAAAATTTGCTTGCGGTATTACGGTATTACGGTATTAATGAATATACCCCCCTCAGAAAGTACTCGTGACATATTACATAATTTAGCAAAAGGGTGTATTTATATTAAAGTCTTATAAGCTATTAACCATGATGATGTGCCCTTGACAATTAATATATAATGGGGTCTATAACATTGAGTGTGACCTCAAGGCAATATATAACGATTATATTTAATATAGATTTCAATAAATCCAATATTCGAACATTATACTTTAAATTTTTAATAGTATTTAAATTCAAATGTAAAACGTATCTTGGAAATAATACCTTGAGGTCTAGAACATGTTGTAGCAAATCCTTGCCAATGTGCAACCACTCTTGGAAAATTAAGTGAATACTTCTTGAAATAATTTGAAGATTGTCGTAAAAACAATGCCATTTTGCCAGGACAAAGTTCTGAAAATTCACCGATGTAATCCGATGACTGAATGAAGACAAAAGATGGTTCGTGGAACCACGTGGTGGAACAGTCTGTTCCACGACTTCCACCACGTGGTTCCACGAACCATCTTTTGTCATTCAGTCATCGGTATACTGACGCGCAGACTGAGACGCCCGCGCGTTTTCTCGCCACGTGCACACACTAGAGGTGTGCAAATCCGATCCAATTCGTTCGGATTTCGGAATAGAACCAAAATATTCATTTCGGATCGGATTGATAAAGTTGTTTCGTAGTCGGATCGGACTTCGGTATCCGAAATAAAATGAATTAATTATCCACGCATTATCGCAAGAATTAATTATCCATGCATTTATCAAAGCATCATCGCGGTTGTCGCTGCATTATTCGTTTGATACTTCAATTGGACGTCACTTTGTCAGCTTCTTGACATGTATTTCTTGCTTTTATATTTATTTGATTAAACTAGTATTTCAACTTGAATGAGAAATTTATTTTATTAAAGAATTCATCGGATCGGATTGGAATTCTTTTTCAAAACTCGGATCGGATTTGACAATTTCGGATCGGATTTTAAACATTAGGCAATTGTCGGATTATAAACGTCCAATCCGATGCACACCTCTACACGCCACAGATACCGAGGATTTTTGTGGGAGAAATCACTTTCGACAAGTTGAGGCGCTCTTTTATTTCTGCAGTTCATTTGGGACATAGATGCTCGTTAGGAGCTGTTCATGTGAAGCCATGGCTGGCCCAGTTAACCGTGATGACTCGTTTAACAAAGCTCTTTTCACGGTTTTGATAAACATCCAAAATGGCATTTAAAGTTGAATAACCTTAGTTTGATTCCAGTAACAGTATAAAGTTCATTCAAACGATCTTTTATGACCGGGAAAAAGTTTTTGGCGTGACATTATTCATCCTGGCTAGCCGGGCTGACCCGGCTCATATGAACAGCCCTTCGTCACGACCAATTGTTGCAATTTAAAAGGCCTACTTGTGACTTTTTGTTTCAGATTTTTGTGATTACATTTTACTAAAATGTAATCTCACAAAAATCTGAAACTGATTTTACTACTTCTCTCTCCTCCGCAGAGCCTCCTTAAGTATTTACAACTAACTCTGCACGAACTGTTTCCTGAATAAAAGTGAGCGCGCGCGGAGTGATGGGAATCCTTGCGCGCTCACTTTTCCCTCACCAGAAACTTCATGTAAGCCTCTGTGGAGGAGAGAGTTACTACTTGTAGCTTCAAACTGAAACAAAATTTATTTATTGTATCTAAAGACACTTTCATACAATGTATTTAAATTTTAGTTGATTCTTACTCGACTATAAAACTATACAAATTATTTCCAACTTGCTTCTATTTAATTATGCACTAAATTTTAATTTATTGCAGCTGCCGTGCAGCAAGTAAAATTATTGAAACTTTCTCGAATTTTATAGTAAACACATTATATCATATTCCTTACAAAAAATCCAATGGGAAGGAATTCCAATAGGAATTTCTATTTGAAACTGGCCCAAATTCCAATTGAAACCAATTGGAATTCCATTAGGACTATTTAAATTTTCCTATTGGAATCCACTGAACTTCGACCAGAATTACAATACCAATTAGCCATTTCCCAATCGAGCAGAGGACTGGGTCTAGTCGCTTGTTTGGAGGGACAAAAAATAAAAATATGCCGAATATGGCATCTAGGAGTTATTTGTGCAGCCTGAAACGCAACAATTATAATAAGGCATCTTTTAATATCTATTTAGTTCGCTCACTATAACTTGTTGTCCCTCCAAACGTCCCTCCAAACCTCAACTAGACCCAGTCCTCCACTCGATTGGTAAATGGCTAATTGCATTTTTTCATATGTGATTATAGATCAACTGTAGCTGAACTTATTCACTTAAACATACGTTTGCCTATCAATTGAAAAGCAATAAATTGAATCCTCTGTTGGACTATACAAGCCCTAAATTTGTCAGTCTAAAAATAAGAGATTGAAAAGGGTGGGCAGAGGCCGCAGAGCTGACCTCAGTCTATCCTGATGTATTTAATAATCCACTAATTATTTTTATGCAGAGGAAACATTAAGACGGATGAATGCATAAACGAGAGATCATCAAATGTCTCCATTATCTCCTTTGCTCGCGAGCTCAGCTGAGCTTCACTTCCGTGCACGACCGACGATGACATCTTACTGGTATCCAATTTCTTTAAAATTTTCAACGGATCATCTTGAACGGATTTTGACGCTTTACAGACGTCGATATCGGACTGGCTATTCACAAGACTAGCTTGGTTTCCGGGGAGAGCAGGACCAAATGCAAAGTCCAAGTTGTACAGACTGCTTGAGGAACTTTGATCTACAATAGGAAATTGAAAAGTAGTTAGGGTCATCGATAACAGTGGCGGACACTAAGGGAGTCAGGGGGAGCAACCGCTTCCCCCCCCCCCAATCATTTCTGGAAGCCTTTGAATGATAGCTGTATAACTGTGTAACAAAGCTGTGACAATAATTGTTCAACCATGAAAGCATTGGTAGGTTATTAATTATGCTATAGATTGCATGACATTTAGGGGAAAAAGTTTTTAAAAACTGGAATTTCCAGCAACAACAGGGGATAATATATATATTGGCCAAATTAATCCCTTCACAATATTTCGCAAATTGTCCATCACTGATCAGTAATAAGTTGGTCTAGATAGAAAAGATCTCTTAGAACTGTAATGTAAGCTATAATTTACACTTGTTTATGTAGATCACAGTGGTCAGATATTTCAGTTCAAGGATGGATCCAGCATGATCTGGTAGGGGGGGGGGGGTGGGGTGCTGCTCTGCCAGCTCTGGTGCCGAGTTGTGTCGGTCATGTGTGCCATCCCCCCCCCCGTCAACTTGCTTCACTACTGCAAAGTCTTGCTTGACTACTGTATTTGAATTGTAATTGTTGTTTACAGTTCGCTTATCATCATGTTATTACTCAAATTACTGTATCTCATTTTGTCTCTAATAATTTTTTGCTTTATCATGAAAAATAGCACCTCCCTGCACCCCCTCTAGGCAGGGCTAGGGGGTGCACACCTCCCGCCCCCGCACCCCCCAGTAAATCCATCCCTGTTTCAGTTTGATATGTACTGTAAATGAACTATAGTTACTAGGTCATACGCGTTAACAGCTAGCTTGTCAATTATCAGTTCATAGGCGTTAACAACTTGTGAACAAGCTGAGGAAAACTAGACAAAATTGCGCACTTGAAACTGCAGAGCTTGTCTGCATGTCAGAGATCGACATATATTCACACCAAATTACAAATAGAAGTCAGACATCGACATACTGTATTCAGACCAAATTATAGATGCAGTTTTTCCGACCAAAGCTAAATTGGTAAGACGTTTGTCCAGACAAAAATAGCAAATTAATTTTTATAAATTAAATGGGTTAACTGTAAGCTGTTTGTGATTATTCTGCGAAGAATACATAACCATTAAATATAAAATGATTTAAACTACACTGTATAGCGTTTGCCAAAAAGTATTATTTCAGTATTGACGCAATTTACCAAATATATGGATGGCGAAATGAAATTGAAAAAAAAAGTCTTTCCATCAGATTTCATTTTATCGGACACTTTTTGAATGTTACTTCAGGCTGTGAAATATCATAGTTTGAGCAGCCTTGTGGCAGGTTTGTAGCACTGGTTTAGCCATTATACAAATAATGTATGTATATGAGTGGAATGGTAAGAATATTTTCATTCGGTGAAAGATGGAATGTTCCCAATTTGAATGGAACATTCCATCTTTCACTGAATGAAAATATTCTTACCATTGCACGAATAAACATTCATTATTTGTTTTAAATAATACCAAAATAGACTAATAGATTCGTATGAGAAGCATTTTGACGGATGCGATTTATCGAAAACACCAAGAGTGCAATGGAATAAAACGTATAGTGCAATTGCACTCGCAAAGAGTGCAATGGAACGTATTCCATTGCACTCTTGGGAAATTTATGGAATTTTCTATTCAATATCACGTGAACATAAATAGACAATTAAACGATCAGAATTCAATAAAGTATTATATAAATACTCATGTTCATTCTTTTTTGTGTATATATTTCAAAGAACAGCTGCGGATGGATAGCGATACAACTACTTGAAAAATTCAAAAATACAAGGAGAACTTGGACGCAGGGCCTTCTAACTTCCCGACAAAGTGCCTTCGTTCAAAACGTCTAAGTTCTGCTTGTATTTTTTCATGGTAGTTGTGTCTTACTAAATTCATAAAAATTTAAAAAACGTGATATTACAAACATAATATTTTTTTTTTTTTTTTTTAAATTGCGAAAAGGACAGTTTAAAACTATAAACTATATTGATGATAAGTACTATAAAATATTAATGTTATGCCTATGGTCGGTCCTAGTTTCTAACACACTTTGGGATAAAACTGTTCTTATATCGTTCAGTTTTGCACTTGTACATAGGATAAGTGCGTTTGTTTCTTAGACTGAATTTGTGAGATATAGCACTGGGAAGTAGCGTTCTCAACTTGTCGCCTGAGTGTTGATGGATGTTCTTATAAAATGACAAGCACTGATTAGGGAACATGCTGTAATGGAGAACAGTGGCGTAGCTCGACAATTTAGTCCCGCTATGCAAATTCAAAATTATTATCATTAGGCTATTCATTTCTTTAGAAATTAACTGTTTTCACAGTCAATGAACACGAAAATATTTGCATAGCGGGACTAAATCGTCGGGCTGGCTACGCTGCTGATGGAGAATGAAGTGCACATTTTACCTGAGTTGGCTGGAAGATTGGATGGTGCAGATGCAAAGAAATCCAAATCAAGCGATGCAGTGTCAGAATTAGAAAGAGAAGCGGTGTCCGAACTGTTGTCTTTGATGCTCTCTAAAATACAAATTGGCGAGAGCTTAACAGGCGGCTCATATCCTTTAAACATAAAAAGTCATGGATGTGACTACAAGGCATTGACATCAAAGACATCAGACATTCAAATTTCCTTGTTGTAGCAATAAATCTTGGAAAATTATTAAATTAACTAACCTGTCTTAAATTCTGAAAAAGCTGTTTGCTGTGGAAAGTTGGATGGAGGTGGCTAGAAGAAATAAAAATTTCGTTAAAACAATAACTTCGAAGATGCTTTCAGCATTGCAATGATTTCTGAACTAGTGTTATTATTTGTTAACCCACTGAGTGCCATACAGTGCTCTCCTCTTGACAAGTAAAATTCTGGCATAAAATCATCTGGCGTTAGACAGAGTAAAATAACAAAGTAGAGGGGTGCAATGTCGAATTTCTGCTTATATTTTTAGAGTAGTTGTGACTGCCTACATTGGCACAAACCATTTGAAATTATAATTTAAATATCTCTAGAGCATTTTTCAACTCACTGAAGAAGCTGATGTCACCCTGGTGATTTCCTTGGGCTGTTTACTTTTGGTTTTCTTTATCTTTGGAGGTGTTGGAACAATACTTGGTTGAAGGATACCCTAAATACAAAAACATGAAGGAAAAAAAGTGCTGAAGGAAAAAAAAGGAAGAAAACACTGCTGAAGGAAAAAAAAACTCTCTCCTGGACAACTTTGGTTTGTGGAAAAGCCCATGTATATTATTATTATTGCAAAACTTTTGATCCATAAGCCCAAATCTTCATCAAAACTTTTATCATACTATCACCATGCAAAACTCAGGGTGCAATGCCACTTATAGGGTTAACAGGTTGAGGTTTTACAAAGTCACCTATCATCTGCAAGGAGGGGTGCAGGTTTTCCATGGGGTGGAGCATGACGGAGCCTTACTGCCCAGTCTCCTCTGCAAATGCAATGCTACTATGCCAACATTACCATTATTTGAGATGTCTGAAATCCGAATCTGCATGTTCGCCGTTCTGTTTCATTTTACATTATCTTTTGTTTATAAAATTTATATCGATTTTTTATCACATATGTGTGACCGGACAGTTGCTGTGGCACAGTACAGTAAATTTACTTGTTTTTAGTACAGTGTATTTGAAAATATGGCTGCATAACAACCTCAACATGTTTACATATTTAACCATGATATTTAACTAAAGCATTCCAAGTATTTTCTTGTGAGCTCACAATTAAATCGTTTAAAGAAATCGGCACATGCTAACAGTAAAAACTCCAATAATCGCTATTCGAAAAGCAGAAAAGGTATGGTCAAGACGATTTGAAGGGTGGTGCTGGACTTCCCTGGGGGGTGCTAGACACAACTAGCATGGTATATCCGCCCCTGCTAAAACTACTCACCAAGCCAGTTGCAAAGACTGGGATTCCCAAACCTTCACCCATTGCAAGAATGTTTGGATTCACCTATAAAAAAACAAAACAGTTGGAAGCTTAATATGTGAGTTCCATTTATTATTTAATTTCAGCCAATGACAGGTTGTGATACGTACCGCTATATTCTTCTTGGAAACCGCAAGAGCTTTGCACACTTTGTCCGAAGTCTTGCACTGTTCCCAAGTGAATCTCAATCCTGCCTCACCCATGTTGGATTGCAGATTTTTCCATAAATTTTCTTGATCTATTCTGATGGAAACACAACAAATGTTATTTAGGATGGTAATACACAGTGTATACAGCTATTTCAATTAAGGTTGTCTCCCGAGCAAAGCGTAATAGTCGAATACAAGCGCGAAAGGCTGCTGTATTTATTAGCGATTCCCAGCAGCCTTTCGCGCTTGTATTCGACTTTTCCGCTTTGCTCTGGGGCCAACCTTAATTGAAATAGCTGTATGTAAATATCACTATTTTGGGCATCTACACTCAATATAACTCATTGTAGAAGGGTTTTGTAGATGGAAATCTCAAGTGTGAATTTTATACATTTATCAGACCTAACCAGAACAGTTGTGAAGGGCCTAGTATATAGTTAGTATATAGAACTTGCAGAGGGCTTATAGTTGCAATAGGGCCAATATTTGCTAGGTCTGATAAATGCGCATAAAATTCAGACTTGAAATTTCCATCTACAAAACCCTTCTACAATACACAGTGTGTATTCTTCAATCATCCTCCGTCGGCAGAAAAAATAGAATTTCATGCAATGATTCATGGGGATGCTCAAACAGAACAACAGGATGCAATGGCCAATGGTCTAATCTAAATTGCATCCACCCATTTATTATACAACTAAATTAAGTGGTCAAAATGTTTTTAATCAACAAGGTCCAGACTTTTTCATTATAACTTGTACTGATTGACCAATTGTGCCACAATCAGAAATTACCAATTACCTATTATTCATGAACAATCTACATGATATAATTTTACGCTGACATTGTAATGTCAGTCGACCAAATAAAAGTGAAGTCATTCATCCTTATTCCTTAATGATAATTTCTAGTGTAACATGTTGTTAATGCCAATGGTATACTTCACACATTAATTTAAAATACAACATTATCAATGTGCATTTCAACAACCAGTTTTACACAATCGGATAATTCTACTGATCCCGATTTTCTACCGATGAGGCAAAAATCGGTCTGATACGGACTATCAGTCAATCACTAGATTTTATCTGTGCAGAGAGATTCTAACAGGGGTGGACAACCTTAGCTACCCACCTATAGCACCCTCAAAATCGAGGCTATATAATTATAAATGGTAAAACTAGTTGTACCTTTTATCTCCTGGAACTTTGACATGTTGAAGATCTTCCACTTTGTATTGTAATGTTACAAAAACATCTTGAAAACATGCATATAATGAAACCAACTGTGTCTGTATTGCATGTTGCTTGTTAGACAAAGTCTGGTCGACCGATTTCTGCATCACAGTGTTCTGAGAAAATGCAGCAAAGTCCGCCTGAAATCCATGTTTGTTCTTGGAACTAGTGCTTTCTGAGAATGCACCAAAATCAGCCTGAAATTCTGGTTCATTTTTAGCACTAGTACTTCCTGAAAAAGCTGCAAACTCACCAGAATCTTGTCTGGAATTGTGTCTAGATAAAACCTTAGTCTCCTTGGATTTATTTGTCTTGCCATTTTCTGTAAATGCCCCAAAATTTGATTCACCCCACTGCATAGAACTTGCATCACTTTGCTGTGAAAATCCAGCATCGCTTTGCTTCTGAGATGCAATTCCAGAATCTGACGAGAAGGCATTAAATGAATCATTTGAAAAATCTGCAAAATCTCCGAAATCATCAGTTTCAGGGCTTGCTACAACATTTCCTTCAGGCTCAGAAACATCAGGGTGTGAAGCTTGGCTTTCATTGTTATTGCTTTGAGATTCATTTTTTGTTTCACTTTCAACACTTGGGACACCTTGTGAGAAATTGCCAAAATCATTATCACTTGAGCTTGTAAAGTCGTTAAAACTATCATCTTTGAATGCTTCAAATGAATTCAAGTCGTCAGTACTCTTTGTTTCATGATTAGTCAAGTCATGTGATAATTTAGCACTCGTTGGGTCATTCCTAGTATTAGATGGTATATCATCTTTGAAGGCTTCAAAGGAATTAAATTCATCATTGTTATGCTTAGTTTCATTATTCAAGTCATGTGGTAGTTTAGTGCTCGCGAACTCATTCCTCTCGTTAGCAGGTAGATCATCTTTGAAACTGTCAAATGAACTAAATTCATCATTCTTCCTTGTTTTATGATTAGTCAAATCAGGTGGTAATTTACCACTCGATAAGTCATTTCGTTCATTAGCTGGTATAACATCAGGATTGGGGTTAGTTAGATTACCACCACCATTACGCTTGTTAGTCTCAAACTTTGCAAAGTCACCTTCATTTGCTTCTGCAAAAGATGCAAATTCATCATCAGAAGCATCATTATTTTCAGTATCACTGTCCATTCCCTCCATACCAGGTTCCTTCCCAAACTGTTGTTCTACCACACTATCGTCATTACTTTTTGCATCACCATCATTCCTTTCATAATCGACACCTTCAAAACTTGAAAAATTTGCAAACTGAAAACCATTTGAATTACTTCGTGTTTTGGTATCACTTTCACCTGCCCCATTCAATGAGACTTGTTCATTATGAGAAAACATTGATTTCTCATTAAATTTGCGTACATTATTAAACGCTGAAAAATCACTGAAATTACTGTTGTGTTTCTCAATATCAGAATTGCCATTTTCATTAAAATTTGAGTTTTGGCCGAAACTTGTCGAGAAGTCTCCAAACTCTTCATCACTAAAACCATCATCGGAGGTGATGTTATTTGTCAAATTCCCTTTGTATCCATTTACTTCCTGACTTAAACCAAGACTGGCATCCTGTTTGTCTGAAGTATCAATTTGATTAGCTGTTTCAAAATTGGCAAATGCCTCAAATTTTTCTGTTGATGAATTTGGCGTGATTTCAACATCTGAATTTAAGCTAGATTTTTCACCCGCAAGCCTCCCTTCAGCGTCTCGCTGTAGCTTACTTTCAATTTTATTGAGCACTGCCTCCCCAATAGCATCGGTTTCGGACGAAAATACAAATTCCCCGTGGTCGTCATCACCGTCCTCTAACGGAGGCGGCCCGTCGGCGAAAACCGTCGACAAATTCGAGCCGAACATCGAAGAATGGTCGACATTGTAATAAAGTGAATGTGTATCGTTCATATACTTATCCATTTTGTACGCGTGTCCTCTTCTACGGGCTTAAACGATACCAGTTTTAACAAAAGCATTTCGCAAGGACAGGCTTCCGTCGCTTCGCTTCACAAAATTTGATAAAACTTCGTCCAATTTTAAAGTTATCTGTCCACATAATTGATACCATAGCAAACGAACGTAATTCTTTAATGTCAGGAAGCAATTTTTGGTATTCTTTTTGTACAAGGCTATATTTCGTTTCTAAAAAACTCGCATTATAATATTATCTTACTGCTTTTTCCGGCCGCCATTAATTATCGGTTAGCACTATTTTCCATCCACCAAACTGACATGACGTCATTGTCGGAAGATGAAAGAGGCCATGTTCTAACCCTGCCCCAACTCTAACCCCTAACCGCAACCCTAACTGTAACCCTAACCAAAATTAATACAAAAAAACCAAAAAGAAACGACTTTAGAAAATCGATAGGGCGATTTGCTGGATGGAAAATAATGCGAACCCTTAATTAATCAGCATTTATACAGACATCCATGATGCTTTGCGGTTGACAAAAACCCACACGCCCCCCCCCCCCCCCCCCC